AGATACACCTGATAACAGGGGGCAGAAGACTACACAAACAATAATCTTGACCTATCGCATAGTAATAAATTATCAATATTAAAAATGTATTTCTGTTTTTTCTTTTACATATTTTGTTAATAGGCCAAATAAGGAATTCAATCCAAAAAAAGTAATTTTCTGTTTAGTTTTATTCTTGGATCAGGCTTTAAAGGGTTAAACAGGTTATTAGTTGCTGTGCAGTAATTAAAAGCTAATTGGACAAGCTAAGCACTAACTAGCTGTTTGTCAAACGCTAACATGTTAACTGTGTAAGCTAACTAAGTGTTAACTAAATGCTAAGTACACACTAGCCAAACACAAACACCTGCTAATTCAACACTAACTGCACCATGATTAACATAAGAACTTCAATACATTATACCTGAATGCTAACCCATGCTAACTACACTTTTGCTACACACTAGCTACATGCTAAGTATGATAACTACACACTAACTACATGTTAACTAAACAGTAACCCCATGCTAGCAACAGCTCAGCTTTAAACTAACTACATGCTAACTACATACGAGCTGCCTGCTAACTAAAAATTCAAGCTAACTACATTATTAACCTAACAGCTTGATCAGATAATACTTAAATGCTAACCCCACGCTAACTATAACTTAGCTACACACTAGCTATATGTTAACTTAACAATAAACCCAACGTTAGCAAGAACTTAGCTTTAAACTAACTACATCCTAATTACTTAAATGCTTAAATGCTAACCCCATGCTAACAACAACTCATCTTTCAATTAACTACATGCTTACTACATGCTAGCTGCCTGATAAATAAACATAAACTAAACTCTAGGTACATAACCTAAGAGCTTGATTACATAATACTTAAATTCTAACCCACGCTAACTATAACTGAGCTACAAACCATCTACAAAATACTAAAATTGAACCCCATGCGTGCAAAAAATTAGCTTTAAACTAACTAAATGCTAACTGCACACTAACTGCCTGCTACCTTAAAATATACTAAACATCAGAGTACAAGATTCACCTAAGAGTTTGAGTACCTAATATTTCATTTTGATATTTAAATGGTGCCCCTATGCTAACTGCAACTTAGCTAAACACCAGCTAAATGCTAAGTATACTAACTACATGCTAACCGCACACTAGCTGCCTGCTAACAAAAAATAAACTAAACATGTAAGTACATGATTCACCTAAGAGCTTGGGTACCTTATATTTAATTTTTATATTTAAATAGTGCCCCATGCTAACTGCAACTTAGCTAAACACCAGCTAAATGCTAATTATACTAACTACATGCTAACTGCACACTAGCTGCCTGCTAACCAAAACTAAACTAAACATCTAAGTACATCATTCACCTAAGAGTTTGGGTACCTAATATTTAATTTTGAAATTTAAATAGTGCCCCTATGCTAACTGCAACTTAGCTAAAAACCAGCTAAATGCTAAGTATGCTAACTACATGTTAACCCTCCCAGAACTACACACTACAAACATCACAAACTTCTCATCTGTGGTGTGTTTTTGACACAAAAGTGTCACATTTCCTGATCACATCCCATTTTTCCTTATTTTTCCGGCTCTAAAACGTGATGACTACCAACAGAGAGAATCAGTAATAATGGAAATCGTCTGGGTCAAAGAAAGAGAAGTGAAAACAGTATATTTTTTGGCCTGAACACCCTGAGACGACCCCTCCCTGAGCTGGAGGTGCTAAATCTCCCGGGCGGGGAAAAGGTGACGATGTGGAGCTAATGTGGTCTCCAAGCTTTTTTCTCCATAAAAGGCCGGAGATTAAAGGCATTCTTCACAAATCACACATTATTTCTGCTCCATCCTGCAGGTTCAGGCCTCGATGTGAAGACAAAACATCCCACAGCTCTCCTATCTGGCTTTTTCAGTGCTAGAATCGGGCTATAATTACTCACTTTAGCATAGCATGCTAAAACTTAATCCAGTGTTTTTCAACCACTGTGCCTCGGCACACTAGTGTGCCGTAGAAAATCATCCTATTTCACCTAATTGGTTTAAAATAATTTTTTTATAAGGAATTAATTATCTGCAAATAATATGCCATTTTTGAGTGTCTGTGCTGTTCTAGTGACTGGTGGAGTAATCATGTAATAATTCCTTATGACTAGATTTTGTATATAATTTTGTATATTGAAGTGGACATGTTAAGAGCATTTGAAAGAAGAAATATAAAATATGATAAAAATACATTTTTGTGTTTATTTGATTCCTATTCAAGACACTTAAGATAAGATAAGAATAAGATAAGAATAACTATAGTGTTACTATAGGCGGCTACAGATTTGTTTGACATTTTTGGTTGGTGGTGTGCCTCGAGATTTTTTCAATGAAAAAATGTACCTTGGCTCAAAAAAGGTTGAAAAACACTGACTTAATCGATGTAAATGACTGATTGTCTTA